GAGGTATATCAGAAGGAAAGTTGATAGCAAATGGTGTTTTGAACAGCCTGTATCCCCCAGTGTAATATATTATGGAAATAATGATTCTGACAAGCGATGCTTCTTTGTAACCTGAAGTGATACTGTAGGGATTATGCATGCTCAAGTCACTCAGGACTGGGTACTTAGTTGTCTAGAAATGCTGTAAGAAGTGTCTTCATCATGAACAACTTCGTTATAGATGCAGTGGCAAGAACTAGATTACTAAAAGAAAAAAAATAATACATGAAACAGTTTATTATTATTATTGTTGTTGCTATTGTTGTTGTTTAGCTATCAATGGGAACAAAAATGGTATTTTTCCTTCTGTTTTTATAGCGTTACCTTTTTGTGTATGATTTAATGACACATATTATCTTGTATTTCGGGATGAATTATATGCTTTAACTAATTTTCAAGCTTGCTCAAACATAGTTGTTTCAAAACCATAAATATGTTGTTAATTAATTAACCTGGATAGGCACTAAGAAGTGGGCTAAAGGTTTAAAAGGAGGTGTCAGGAAGTTAGAACAAATAAAACATGAATGCAAAACAGTCTGTAATAAAGGCACAGAGAGAATACAGAGGAAATGATTACACTAGAAAAAAGAACGAAATGCTTCTGACCTGTACACTTTCATCGAGCACAGATCAAGAAACGCAACCCAAAAGGCAGGATAAAGGTAGCATATACATCTAGCCTCTTGCATCAATAAATTGGCTTACGTATTTGCTCTAGTTTACAGAGATTTCCTTGCAGTACAACAGATTGGTGTACCTTGCCAGAGGGGGATACTCTGGCTTCAACCAATCCGATGATTCCCTTCTTCCCCTGATAAAACATGGGGGTGCAAAGTAAGCTGAGGTTACTGTATTTTAGGAATATCTTGCGGTACACAATTACAGTGTAATTGTCTTAAGAGTTACCAACGTATACAGTCTGCAGGATTGGACTTTCTCTTCTTCCTCATGTGGTTCTTCTACCAATGAAAAGTAGCACAACATTTTTAGTTAGGGGGAGGAAAAGACAAAACAACCAAAAAAATCCCAAACCAGCTTTTAATCTGACCATTCTTGAAAGAAAAGAATATTGATTGACAGGAAATATATTGAAGAATGCATTTATTTAAGAGTTTTGAATGCTGTCTTGCAGTGTTGATAAATCGCTGGGATTTTGTTTTGAATGGGAATTCCTTAAGAATGGAATATGCCAGTTTGTGGTGTACTTTGTAGAAGTATTAAGTAGGAATCTCACATAGCATATTTCATTTCCCTGCTTAAAGTCTTCCCCCTTCTTGGTTCCTCCTTCCCTGCATTGCTGTTCCTTCCCCACATACGCAGAGTTAACTAATACAGAGGAAGCGAGTTCATTTTGCTTCACTGCTTCAAAAAAAGGAATGCTATGACCAACGGAATGAAAAAATTTGATAAGCTAAAACAAAAGGCAGCAAATGTTGAGAACAAACTCCAGTGACCTAGGTAATATAAAATTGTTTCATGATAAGGCTGAACATTAACAATTTTGGACATCTAAAAATGTAAAACTAGCAATTCGAAAACATTTATCTGGATGAGATAGAACATTATATACGAAACATAATGAGGTCTCTGAAATTCAGCCAGGATGCTGTAGTACTCATTTAGACAAAGAAGACAACTAGTTAATCACGGCAAAGAAAACTAGACAGAGTAAATTAGTTTGCTGCATTCCAGACTCTTAGCTACGAAAAAGAATATATTTCACTAATTAGAGAGTGAAAATACTCTAAGCTTTTAGAAAGAGAATGCAAGAAGAGTGAAAGAGAGAGGTCTTGGCTTTGGAATGGTGTATCAACCCATGGTGTTAGCGTGATACGATTTTATGATTTTTATGGTAGGCAGCCTACATTAAGGGATCTTCAACTTTGATTGTATTGATTATATACAACATAATAATTCATCACAAAAATTATCATGCATGGCTTCAATTCTTAATTTTCATGGGCTCTTGGAGCCTCTAATGAAATGTAAATAAATTTAATTTAAAACCTACATGGATATGCATGTTATAATAAAAAAGCTAGAAACTTCACAATTAAAATAAAAAGCTAACAATCAGATTTTAAGTTTTGTAGGGGATTATTGTCTTGATTGTGCTGTAGATATTTTTACTTTACCATTGTAATTTTATCCTCAATGCTAAAGGAGCGTGCATCCTAAGTGTTCTATTTCTAAGTTCTTTAAATGAAATAGGGGAAGGTGTGTGTGTGCTAAAGAATATTAGAATAGTAATTATTCTAATTAGACTTCAAGGTAAAAGAGAAAGTGAAGTTCACCTGCTTTTTGCGTGGGATAAGAATCCTGTTTTATCTGAAGACTACATTATTTTACATAGTGAAAGCTTTATATACAGTTCTGAAATAAGGTTGTTATTTTTTTACTTAGAAAAAAATTTAAAATTTTTGCATGAGCAGTGTTACACCCTTGAATTATTTCTACTGAATTGAAAGAGAACAAGATCAAGTTTGCATGGTTCCAATGCCATAGTTGTTTTCTGAAAAGCTATGGTTTTACAGGGCTTCTGTGCTACAGTAGGCATATAGGCAGTATGTATGTTTGAGGAAGAGTGTGATGTTTGGCCTCCTTTGGAACTGCAGATCAAGAGAAAATCTGACGTCTTTCTTTTTTATTAAACATAAGATAAGCTAATAAAGCAAGTTACGTTTTCAGGCTCTCACATTTTATTACATCAGGTCTTAAATGTTTTTAAATGGGAGTCAATGGCTCTATAATGCTTGTACATTGTTGCAGGGTTGGGGTTTTTTTTTAATTTCAAAAGATGCTTGTTTGTGGGTGTTTATTAGAAAACTGTGTGTATGTGTGCATAAATGCAAGTGTGAATGTATGTATGTCTCTGTAGAGTGAGGTGGAAGAAGACAGTGACCCCTTTATTTCGTAAGATCTACTTCTTAAATTGTTTCACACTTTCAAAAAATGCCAAGACCAAATATGGAAATGTAGCTGTAAAGAGAGAATGTCCTGGAAAGGTTTGAACTAATACAAAAGAAGGGGTTTAGTCTCTTAACAAAGTTGTTTTCATCACCAAGTTGTGTCGTAAGCAGATAGTGTGACAGCTTATTTTTTAAGCAGAATTGGAGTCAGTTAGATGAAATCAGCCTAAAATGTGATTTTGTTTCTAAAACATTATTTTTCTTGTTATACTTATTTCAGAAACGTATGCAATAAATATTTAGACTCTTAATTTACTACTCATCAATCTAAAAATCTACTTTGCTATCTTAATCAGAATTCATTTGCTTAATTGTTGCTCCTATCCCATCAATCTCAGTTTTGCACTAACTTGAACAATGCCACTTTTTGCTGTTTGCACTTTAATTCGATTTCCATTCTAAGTTTATGAACAGTAATAGGGTCCCGCTTGAATATTCATTAGCTTTGAATTGTGAGCTATGAAAAGGTGCTTTCTTTTACCTTAATGAAAGTGGCTCAGCATGGGACAGATCAGTAATGACATTTGATTTTAGGCATCCAACAAATTTGCTTTTTATTTATTGACACATCTTGTCCAAACAGCTCCCTCGCAAGTTAGTGGAGTAATGAAAGAGAGAGTGCTGCAGAGGAGCGTGGAGCTTTCCTGGCAGGAACCAGAACATCCCAATGGAGTCATTACTGAATATGAAATCAAGTATTATGAGAAAGTAAGTGCTAAGATTATCTGTTATGTACAACAATGTGCTGTTTGCTTCGTGTTGGCTTGCTGCGTTGTGGAACAATGTTAAAGCCATCAGCTATCCTGTCTCTTCGAAGTCACACTGATTTTGCTTGGTTTTAATAACTAGAGAATCCCTGCAATGATTATTGCTATCATACGTCTCATATATTGTATTTTGGCATCCTAAAAGTGAAATATGCACTTGAAATCTGCCCTTTTTTTCACCTTTTTTTTTAATTGTTAAGTTGGACTTGGATATTTTACCATGATAGTTGTGATTTTCCTGTCCCTTCTACATTGTGTTTAAAGCTTGTTTAATTTCCTTCTGTGTCACTGTAATCCAGTCTTGAGATGATATATCAAATACAACTCTTGACTGCATCTGGTATTTCCTTATGAGCTGGGAAGCTTGGACTTGCTATCTGAAAACTTCCAAAGCACTTCCTACAGTTTCAGCTGAAAAATATTCCTTATTTGTCCTTTTAAAAAGTCCTGGCTGCTTTTCAGTAGTATATGAAGTGATCTCTGTCTCTGGTAGAGTTAAATTGCAATCTTATTTATGTCAGTCAGTGTTTTGCCATTCATTTTAGCATGTCTAGAGCTTCAGTCATGATAGCTTTGAAGTACTCCAGAATAAAAAAAAAATTCTGACAAGCACATAAGTAGGGCCACATGCAACTGTAAGCAGGATGAAAGCAGAGTGAAGGCAGGTTGTGTAGCTACATGTTTGTCATGGCACCCAGACTAAGTGTGGCTCCTCCAGATTCCCTGGGAAACTTACTGTAGCACATAACATGTTCCTAATTTTTCTAAAACATTCTGGGAGAAAAAAGAAAGAATTAAAATGCAGAGAAATGAGCAAAGGATCTCCTTTGTGATCACTTGTTAAGATATTTCATCCCTGCAAACAAGGTAATAGTACCTCTATATCAAAAAGAGCGTGTCAGTTTACTAGGTAACATAGAATTAGGTAAATTCAAACCAGATTGGATCTAATATCAAGTGTCACATCTAATTTTCAGTATTGAATTACACAAATATACTTATCAAAAGTTCTTTATATGATTTGGGGAGGGAATAAAATGTTTATTTGTTGATGCTAACTCCCAGTTGTTCACTTTAATGACTCTTATAACAAAGTTTACCAGATATGTACAGAGAGCTAAACATTTTTTTAAAGGAATTTTACTAATTTTAACAGGTATTTTTTCTTCCTCAAGCATGTGCTTGTGCATACACACAAATAATATCCATAAATTTAAAAAAAAAAAAAAAAAAGTTTGCGTATTTGGCAAAAGCAAAACTGTTCTACACACACACACACAAAAAAAAAATCTCAAAAACCCAATCTATTATTATTTTCTGTATACATTCATATTACTTTAAATAATCAGCAGAATTTCATTGCCAGTTTCCTATGTTTGCAAAGACAAGAACTGATGTTGAACTTCTTTTGTAATGAAAGGAAACCTACCAGTATTATACTTATTACGGTGAACTTAATGAAAGAGAATAAGAAGCTTATCCTATGAACAGTCACAGATAAACTGAACTATATACCTTTAATTCAATGAGACAATTTTAACACACATTCTCAAATGCTTGCCTTCCTTTCAAAATAATGCAGTTCAGTTTGAAAAGTACTTCATAAGCTTCTTGCTCAGAATGAGAGAGGTAGTTTAGGTTTTCTTCCATTAGTTTAAAAGAACAAAAAAAAGTTCTGAACTTTCCACTCCTTTCAGAGCCAAATTAAATCAAACATTTTTGTGGTTCTGAAATACCCTGATAAGTGTTTTTTCCACCTCTCACTTCTGGCTAGCACTGGAATGGAAACTGCCTGAAATCTCCCAAGTAAGCCTGTCCTGTGAGATTTCTAGTGCAGGTTATTTTTATTTCTTTGTTATTTATTGATTTTGAATGCAAGAACTGTTGGCAATTCAAATAAGCCTCATTTATGCATCAAAACCCAAACTCTGAAATTCCATTGTGTCTTACAGTCCCGAATCAGACTGTTTACGGTTTCCTTACACTTGTTTCTCATCTCTCAAGCGTTCTTGTTCTTTCTTACATACCAACACACTTTCCACCATGCTCCTCACTTACAGATGATTTAAGCAGTCTTGGAGAAGATATGAAAAATTGTTGCTAGCCGAGCTGGCGGGTTTGTTTAAATGACAGACTGGGCAAGACCCAAGAGAAGCCATTACTGATTCTCAGAAAAGAAATCATATATGTTGTATTTAACCCTGTATTTCAGCAAAAGCCTTTGCTGCTTTGCTGACTGCAAAGGGGAAGGTTCTCCATCATTTTTAGCTGTCGAACTGCTACTGAAATGAGTTACAGATTTATTCCTTCCTTCTGTATCTGTCTCATTAGCACTGCTTCGTACGGCTCATGCTTCTCTGGTCATGTGGTGCATTCAGATGGTTAGTTAATTCATCTCTTCTGCCCTTCAAATCAGGGTTGCATCTGCCACCGAAAATCAACAGGGCTGCACATATCTATGCTGAAAGATAATCTGGATCGGTAAATGTGATGAATAAGTAGAGCTTTTTGAATACTGTAATGATCTGTGATACAGCTTTTGTAGTATTTGAAAGTGAGCTATTACTCATAAGATTTGTAATCTTGCAGCTTCAAATTTGGGGGGTGTCATACTGAGCTCCTTTCCCTAGGTTCTTCTTGAATGCCATAGAGTCAAAACCTAAGAAAAAACTAAAAGCCAGAGGAGAAAAACTAAGTGAAAACTGAGTTAAGGACTTCAGAATTTGGTGCATAATGTAGCCAGTTATATATGGACAGTGTTGTATTGATGTTGGAAGGTAACAAGGGAAGGTGTTCTGACCATGAAAAAACAGAGTTCCCTGTCCTTGAACTGTTTAGACACTGCAGATCTCCCTGGAAAGCTGTGGTCGAGCTATTTTCTCATCAAAATTTCAAAAAATGTAATCAGAGCCGAAGAAGCAGTCAATTTATGTCTGGATACTTTATGAATAACAACATGAGCATCCCATTTGAATTTTGTGTTACACTTAGAGCTCCTCATTGCATTGACAGTGTTTTGTAATACTCCACAGAGTATGCTTTATTTTTTATGTTGGGAAAAAAGCATTCAACAAATTACAATAAACTACCCAGGCTGGCTGTCAGTTGCTGATGTGCAACCATGATAAAATCTGACCTGTAAATGTCATTTAATCTTTTGTCTTATTGTTTCCAGGATCAAAGAGAGAGGACCTATTCAACAGTAAAAACCAAGTCCACTTCAGCATCTATTAATAACCTAAAGCCAGGAACAGTGTATGTTTTCCAGATTCGTGCTTTTACTGCTGCTGGTTATGGAAATTATAGCCCCAGGCTGGATGTTGCCACACTAGAAGAAGCCACAGGTAAATAATTAGATTTATAGGAAATTAAAACTTTCAGTAGAAGTAGTAAGTAAAGCAAGAAAGGAAAGAGTCATAAGCAATATTATTAAAACTAGAAAGAATGAAAATCTGTGTGAAGGTGGATTTTTGGCATTGCATTTTGAAGGATGAGCTTCAATTTGTTGTTTTACTGTAGAACTACAAATTCCACTCTTATAATTAGCCATATTTGTAACATATGAGGTTCTTCTCTTCTGATGTCCTTGAAATACACAGAATATTTTTTTTTCATTCGAATACACACCTCTTTTCCCCACAAGAGAAGTGAGTAGTGGCAAAAAACCCTACTAGATTCTTCTGTAACCGGGGAGAGGAGGGAAGAGGGCATTTCAGCCCACAGAGGCTTCTCCAGGTCATTTTTCCCAGTTTGATTTTCTGAAAAAAAAACAAAAACCAACAAACCTTTATAGTTTTGTTTATGTGTGTGTCTTGTTTAGGCTGTATGTCCATCCTTAGCGATTTTTGAGTTCATTGGTTAGTTTCAACTTGCTTTAGTAAAGAAACAGAGGTCTTAAAGATACTAGGTTTCTTTCAGGCTCATGTAATAAGTTGTAAGCCGTGTAAAGAAAAAACAATCTCTCAAAAACCCTCACAATGAAAAGTATGAAGCTGAAGTACAAGCTCTCTCAGTGCAGTACACCAGAGAATCTGGCTGTGACATCTCGGCAGAGGGATGACATTTTGGGAGAGCTTGCTCTTTCCTCGATGCTGAAACCAATCTTGTGCCCTTATTTGTCAAAAAGTCACACTGATACCTTTTTTCGTCACGAATATAGATATGTGCGTGCATGCTTAGAGAAAATCTTCCACATTTTGGGTCTTCAGAAAGAAACTCTTCCATTACTGAGACCTGGCAGCCGTGAGCCCCTTCACGGGAACTGCCTATGTCCCTGGCTGCTTCACAACTCTGTCACAGACCCAAATTTGGTTACTTTGTTTTGGGTCATTTGCTTCAGGTTGACCTGCCTGGCAGCAGATCAGCCCGATTTGGAGCTGAGAATACATAGCCTATACAGGTTCAAAGGGTATGGATACCATCTATGCTCTCTGCACTTTATCCAGCATAACTAAGGTGCAGACACACATTATTGCATCTTATTAACTGCAGCCAAGTGTCACCTGAACAATTTGTGGGTATTCTTGAAACACGGTAGTTAGGTCTTGATTCTTTCCACCTTGGTTCCACACAGAATATGAAAATTATCAATAATGAATAATACCACATATCTAATAGACATAATTGAAATAGTAATTATCATAATAGCAGCAATAAACTGTTATTACTAATATTATTAGCTCTGTGTCTGATAGCATGCTTTCCATCCATCAAATTCTGCTTTAGAGTCAGTAGCAGAATCCCCATTTTGCAGAATGGGAACCTGAGGTACAGCCAGAAGTAATTTCTTACATTGAGTAGATTTCTGGAAAACAAATTAGAAGTCTGTCATAATCTGCCATAAATTACTGCTAATTAGCTAATTTATTGTCCATAGTGGTTTAAAATTAGTAGATGAAAGTATTTCCCCAACATTTCCTTAATTACTTGAGTATTTTTTTATATACTGAATGTAAGCATACTGGTAGCCGCTAAGATTAGCAAAGATCATTTCGCAGGTAAACTGTCTTGACTCATATGTTGGTCAACATATGGAAGATTAGGAAATCCTAGAATAAATGCATCACTGACCATGCTCATGTACCCTTTTTCTGACTCAGGTGGTGAAAAACTGCATATAAACCAATTATATACTTGGCCAGTATGCACAGCAGATTTTTCTTTTGTCGCAGAAAAATTTAAAAGGGGCGTGTTTTCCATTATCTTGATAGGACACTGTGGAATATAATTCCCATCAAGGATAAGCATCCACAATTTTCTACATATGGTTATCAGAAATAATTATAATGTTGGTAAAAAGATAGTAAATTTCATTAAGTTCTTCTAAAATTGTTTTGCACAAAAATATTTGTTTCTCATATTAATTTATAGTGTTATCAGAACTTGCAAGCTAATCAGATTAGGCTTTTGTTAACATTTTAAAGGAAGACCTTCATTCGGTAATTTTTAGGAAATATACCACAAGTGAAGTACTGTACAGGTGAGCAGTAAACCAGTGTTGTGCTACAGTTAAAGAGGTGTTGGCTTCTTGTTATTACAGTGGATTTCTGAATGCAGCTTTTAAAGATGTCAAAGTATTTTAAGAAAAAAAATATATATGTAAGAATATGTATTTAGTGACCATCACAGTCAGCTGGTCATGTTGCCTGCCCGAATTTTTCCTGGCACTTCAACTGGTTGGCACCTTTTGGTTGGTGCTGTTGATTAAGGAGATTTTTGTATTATGCTCTGGTTTCTGAACTGTGGTTCTGAATTGTGACGTGGCCACTTTTCAATATTTGAGGAACCCCATCCATTATATTAATATTTTCTGATATGTAGAATATGCATATTTTATACCCATATTTGCACATATCATACATGCATTGCATGCATATTTATGTAAAACTTTCAAATTTTTGAAGTAAAAATGCTTTATAAGGCAAGATATTTCTCTTCTATACTGTGCTTGCCACAGATTGAAGTACTTTAATCATTGTATTATTTTATTGGAATCATTGCTGGTTATTAGGGACACAAGTCCCTCAAGGAAGAAAGTACAAATCCACAGAATAGCACTTAGGTGGTAATTTTACCTTTTGATTCACTGAAGTATTTAAAAGTTATGGTAAATGACTTGTAGTCGGTGGATCTAAAGATAATCCTGCGCTTTTTGTAATCGAAGGGGTTTGCCACTCATTACAGCTCTCAGTGTTAAAGGACTCGGCACAACCTGGCATGAAGACTTCAGTTTTTCCTTTTGCCGTGAATCAGGTTAAATCAGGAAAGGTTGAAGTAATATGCAGATGTGAAATTTATTTCTAATGTCTGAAATAACACTGCTACAAATTTTTATAGAAGACATAAAGAATAATATTTAAGAAAGTGATATTTGGCCTACATAAATCTAATTTATCATTAAAGCTTTCATGGTGGACTTCAACAGGAACTCTTTTCTGCAACTCATACATTTCAGGTTGCTTGCATGAGGAAATGTTGCTGGAGGAGCAGCACAGCTTTTACAGATATCTTTTTTTAAATCCTCCAGGCTGTTTGGATATCTATTCCCCATCCCTCCAACCATGTACTTAAAAGATGGTTTTGACTCCTTTAAATTGAGTATTGCCTCGTTCATTTGGATATTCAAATATCGTAATGTCAGATTAGATGTCACCTGTAGCTGATTGCCCAAGTACCAGGTCCCTGTCTCGCCCTCTGAGTGTGAGCACAGTTTAAGCAGAGGTAAAGGCAGACTTCCCAGTCCTGCCATCAACATTGTGGCAGCACCAGTGACAGGTCAACCCCCTGAAAGGATTGCCTGCAGCCCAAAATCATTCCTTTAAGGACAATCTAGCATCTTTATTTCTGCCAAACCCCAATGTTCATTCCAGAAGCTGGTTTCTGAATCACACGCTGACGGACTGAGTTCATCACACAGAAGGGAGAAGCAGCACAGAGTACCTGAACAGGGGCACATGTCTTACACTGCTGTCACTGAATTCATACCAGACCAAGCCCACAATCAGACTTTTTATTTTTCTTTCTTTTTTTTTTTTTTTCCTAGAAGATGTAAAAATACATCACACATTGAATCCCACCTATCTTACCAGTTGGCCAGTGTACCATGCAGCCAGCATTTTCCAGAGCCCAAGTTACATCCTCGGCCTGCTTCCAAAATGTGCCAGTACCCAAAATCTGTGAGGCACTTATGCAGAGCAACCCACTCGCATATGTCAACCTCTATGCATTCAGCTTGGCTGCTAGATTAGGTGACAGGCTGGGCTGGATATTTTTCCAAACTCTGTTAGATGGATGCAGCTTTGTACACTGGATGCTGCCTCTTCTTGACTTTCAAGTAAGGTTTTCACTGAAATTCAAAAAGAGAAAGGAACAGTTTTAGGAAATGCTGTATTTTATGTAAATTTGACATTCCCATGCTTAGGATTGTCTGCTTTGGTGGCCCGATGATGTTACGGGAACTGAGTTGTATTACTTATGCCTGAGATATTAGTTATTGCATGAGATAGTGACCTCTGATTTCCTCAAAGTTCCAGAGGTGGGATATACGCAGGCCTGCAGTAGCGTCCTGCTGACCTGGGTATCTCAGAAGTTACAGTTACTCAAAGATAAGTGTTTGTTTTTTTCAGTTAAAGACCAGTATGAATAATGAGATATTCCTCACCTGCATGAGGTAGAACATAGTAAAATTACAAAGTTTCTTTAGGAAATAAAACTGGCGTGTGGGAGTGGGGTGTTGGAGAAATTTCCCTCCAGTGCAGATTATTCTGTATCTGTGTAGTATAATAAGAGGTTTGTTATTTGGGGGGGGGGAAGCAGTTGGTACAGGTCAGTTTCAGTGACAAAATAAATCACGTTGATTGGCTCACTTCTCCCAATACAGCAAACAAAAGAGTGGTTTATTTGTTTCAATGGGAACCTGTGGAATCTGCAACAGGAACCTGATTTTGTGGAATTCATAAAATCCTTGTGTAGACATTCCTGTTCAGTTGCCACTACCCGCAGTTAACCGTATTAACATACCATCTACAATTTAGTTAATCAGCTATCACTTGGATTTCCTTTTTTTTTTCCTCTTTCCTCTCTCTGCTGCTTCCACATGACTCACACTTTCACAGTCCCTTGCTTAGCATCACTGCCTGATGTCTCCTCCTTTATTCTTAGTCTCTTGGGCGAGATCCTCACTTTACAAACCAGCATAGCTCTACAGTACTCATTTAACACGACTGAGTACATGGCCACCCTCATTAGATGTCAGGCAAGCAATGTATTTAACAAACCTTGAGGTTTCTCAGGCTAAGTATTTACATCTTCAGTTTATATTAATGTGACGTGCATACATTTGCATATATTAATAGCATTGGCATATCTGAATAAAAAGAGCGATAATGTGTGGATATTTTAGCATGTAAATTCTCTGAAGCATGGAGAATTCCATTTTGTATATGTGGAAGCACCTTTTTGTTGCTAACAGAAACAGATGATAAGTAATAATAGCAATTTACAATGATTAATAGCAGTAAGAGATAGAAATATGCTAACTAGGAAATCTGTGTTAATAGGTAGTGTTTCATCTCTAACCTTCTTATAGTTAGGACACTGTTTCCTTGGGTACAATCAAAGTCATATCAACTAGTTTTAGAGGGGAGACTAGAAAAAGAGCTCTTCAGGGATTATCCTCCCACTGTCCCCCTTTACAGGGATATCCAGGTCTTCTCTTTTAGGAAAGAGTCAACCACTGAGCAAAACAGAGGGCAGCACAGCAGTAGGAGGGAGTGGAAGTGGCTGGTGCGGGTGATGGCTTTCAGCTAATGGCTGTACCACTTTGACCAAGTCAGTTCCAGCGTAGCTCCTTTTTATTCCCTGTAGACAACCATTAACTCATCCAGCACTAATTTCCGTTGGAGGCCTTTCTTTAGACTAACTTTATCAATGTAATAGTTTCAGGCAAAGGTAAACGAACAGTCTGCAATTCATGATGGCTGACAATTTTTGGCAGTTCCTTTGTAGGGAATAATTTTAAACTAATCTCTGCTCTGTGCTCTGTTCGTAGCCACGGCTGTTTCCAGTGAACAGAATCCTGTTATTATCATAGCTGTGGTTGCTGTGGCAGGAACCATCATTCTGGTCTTCATGGTGTTTGGATTCATCATCGGGAGAAGGTATTGCACCTTGTGTAGGCATAAGCACATCTGACCCCACTCTTGTGAACTCCTGAGACATAGTCTAACCTGGGATAGTAATTTGCAAAACTGAAACGGAAGTTGTTTTTAGTAAGGACAAATTTCATTTAAATCCTGTTATCAGTTATACCATTCATCTTCTTACTTTGCCAAGACACACTTAAATCAAGATGTTCTTTTTGTCCTATGTAAATGTGCTGTAAAAGGAACCCCTAGCAGGTTCTTTACCTGCACTTCTCAAAGTCCCTCTTTCTGTTCGGTTTTCTCACTTGGAGGAGTCTGACACTTTATCTGATCAGCCTTTAAATGACTTTACATTCAAAAAAAAGAGGCACAGCAGTAAGTTTAAGAATATCCTCATGTAAAACAGTGTTCTACTTTCAAGTTCTTTAATCCTCTGTTTTATCCGTAGAAGCTTTTCACCAGAACTAGAATTTTCTCTTTAGAACCTGTCCCAACTCGTATTTGATACAAAAGCCTTTTGATTGCAACTGTTCATGATTTATTTAAAACTCTCTTGTCAAGAGAATTATAGCTGAAACTTTCAAAGGGCCTACAGGAGTTAGGTGCTCAGCACCTGAAAATCCCAGCCTGCAAAGCTGAAGTCAGGACTTTAGATGTGAGGAAGTAAATCATTATTTACCAGTAAAACTGGAGTCTTTCTTTTCAGGCACTGTGGCTATAGCAAAGCTGATCAAGAAGGGGATGAAGAACTTTACTTTCATTGTAAGTGTTTTGCTTTTTTTTCCCTCCTTTCAAACATTCCCAACTGCAATAGTGTAAACAATATTAAAACAACACTGCATGAAAGACAAAGCCATAAGAAATTAAAAAATGCTGTGTAAATAGCAAGTGGGAAGTTAAACACTGTAAAAATGTGACCTACACAAAAAGAATGCAGATTAAAGTCAACATTGCTCACACAGACGATTTTATTTCTATATGTGTGTATGATATACTGATGTTTTTGTTCTGCTTTTTTTTTTCTTTTGGTTGCTTTGAATAAATGTTTCACACCGTCTTAATGATGCCTCTGAGGTGCAGTATTTGAGAGACCTTTAGCTAAGTGACTGTATGATCTTTGCCTCAGGCAAACTTCAGATTAAGAAAGTGTGGGTCACTGCACCACCCTAACAATGAAGCTGTTCTGCTCAGAAGCTGTTTTCTGCTACTGTGAATACCACAGCATCAATATTTGCAAAACATAATGTCCTTAAAAATAGAAAATTTAATATGAAAAGAAAGGCCAGCTACTTCATTACTGTTCCCTTTTCTAGACCACTTGCCTAGCGAAGAATGGCACTTAAAGCCTCTCTTGTTAAAATCAGAGCTACCATATGAACTTATGCTAGAACCCTAGGAAAATTCAATAAAATACATCTTTCTTGGGTTAGTGACAATTAAAAATTAAAGGCAAAGGAATAGTTATGCAAAAATAGTTTCAGTTTTATCAAAATACTGTTTAAAAATCTTTCTTATTTTAGCCCTTTCTCCTTTCAGTTGTAATACCATTTTGACGTGAGAAATTAAAAGTGTTTTCAGTTCTTTTAGAATCAGTCATTAACACAGGAAGTATGGTAAAACTAAGTTGCAAAATTATTTTGAGCACTCAAAATTGAAAAATCACGTATTAGAATTAAACTGAATATAAGTTCCAACACAGAACAATTCCTGCGTTTCCAGTCTTCTCCCATGACCGATAACTCTCGTATCAGAACTTGCCATTTAGTCATACTATGATGTATGTAGCCTTTGTTGTCTACTGATAATTGCAGCTGTTGCTTAAATCCATCAGATTTTTTTTTTTTGAATGAAAGCAATATGCTTTATCTTATTTCACATATGTTAAAATCATTACAATTACCAGAATGTAACGTCACATAGACAATGAAATAGCCACTGGCCACCACTTTGTAGTATCTTCTCAATGCACACGTCTTTAAATGAGTAGTTCTGGCCAAAGCTACACTCAAATTCAGATCAAGGTTTCTATTTCACCTTTATGCCCTGAAAAAATCACATCAGCTGGTATTTGTTCATGCTCCCCGAGTTTGGCTGTGTTGCTACCTAAAAGGTTTCGTTTAAATGCAGTGAATATTAAACTAAGTAGTGACATTATTGCAGCTTTAGTCAATCAATTCATAATCTGTGCAAGAAAGGTGGAAAATAATAATGGGATAAGAATTATTTATCATGCACTTTGCAGTACAGCTGATTTTAAAGAATTCATCAAAAATCTGATGCTACTTAAATGTTGCTATTCTGGGAGTGATGGATTCGAAATTTTCTTCTCGTAGATGCATTATAAGCTTTTCATGTCTTCAGAAGAGCTACTGCTTTCACTGTTAAAATCCTCATTATGTCCTTAAAGGAAAAGATCAACTATGTATTCTTGTATTTCAGTATATAAACAAAAGGAATATGCTAGCTAAATAATTCCTTTCCTCGTCTCCATTATCTGTGACATTTTTTGTTTCGGTGAAAATGTAAATGAATTAATATGAAAGCTTTTACCTAATGATTAATAGTTGATGCAGAAATGGTGAGACTTTATAAGTGCTCATTTCCCTCATTTTACTTTCAAGAAATCTGGTTATCCAGCAAATCAGTCAGAACAGTTAGCATACACAGTTTTTTTAAAATCATAGCACCAAATATAAGTCACTCTTTGCCAAGCTAGTTTTTCATGCACTGTTGATTGAAGGTTTAGTGTTTAATTTTATTTGGTAACCATGTACAGAATGAGATGGAACCCAGTGTTATGGTCACCAGTTTGGTCACAGAACTGTAAATACCAGTTTGGTGTACTTTTGTTCCGTAACATCTAGACAACCTTCTTCTGTGCTGAGGTACCAGATTGGATTTTCAAAAACGTAATTTACAACAAACACTTACTTAACACAAAAACTTACAAGTAACTATTTTTTAAAGCAGGTTTTAAAGCACTGTATTTAATGGAGTATCATATATTTCATTTCAGTCCCCCTCAACTGTCTGTGACCTCAAGTGCTACACTTGAAGATACAAATACAATGGAGGAGTTTAGTCAAGCAATTCAGATTTATATTTGGTTTCCTCCTACTATTTTCTTCTAACAATGTCTTCAAATCCAGGCCAGTGTTATTTCATGTTGGTATGCCAGGGTAGCCTTGGCCTGTCAAAATGTTTTATGACAGCTTGAATAAAGAACCATCAGAGGCTCACTTGAGATTCACAAGGTTACCTCCAATCCAGGCCCCTTATGACAAACACAAGAGGATGGCTCCTTCTCCCTCTCCCTGCCTAAAAGCACTATTATAGGAGGTTAAGCTATTGCTTTCTTCTCATTTTCTCATTTTTGGTTTTAAGAAATAGATATTTGTCATTTTAAGAATTTGTGGCATTATCAACACTATTTGAAAAACATCTATTTAAATACGTAATATGGCAGATAATAACATCTGGGCAACACTTCAAATAATTTTTCTGGATGTAAATTCATTAGATTACTCAAACATTCAAACAAATTCTCTAGCTTTTTCCTTCTTATGAGTTTGGGTTTTTTTGGTCAGTAATACCATCTGAAGCATAAATGCACGATTACTAAGCTATTTTTCAATATAGTTTCAATTTTAAAATATTTTATGTTCAATTAAAAGATTACAAAGCAACCATAATTATATATGTTTTGTATTGACTTTTGATCCTATTTGGTATATCAGTATATCAATTAGCAGAGGAACATTCTTGCATTTTTATATTGAGTTTTAATTCACTGATTTAATTAAAGCTCAGGACTGTAATCCTTGTGAGCTGAATTTATTTCATAAAAAATGCTTGATTAATAGATTTCCAGGGTTGCCCTACTTTCACCAGAAGTTTCTAATTTCACCAGAAGAGCAAAAAATAATTTTCTTGAATCCGCAGGAAACTTGAGGGAAAAAACTACATGCTGGCCAGAGCGCCACACTGCCTGAGTTGTACTACGTGCTATACTGGAGAAAGAGGGAGCAAAAACCAAATCGCTGCACATTAGTCACTTAGGTGCTTGAGAGAGGGAATAATTGTGCCACAGAGCCCGCTGTCCTTTCCTACACCTTTACAAGTTGACTACAAGTGTTTCTCACATTCATATTCTAGTGCAAGAAACATACCTAAGGATATAAATTCTAAGTGCTGTGAATAGTTTAGCTTGGCTATTGCCACAGTCTGTAAATAATGTTGTACTCAGTAGTTCAAGCAAATTAAAGTAGGTGGAGGAGTCTTTCTAATCCCGCTAGAAGACAGAGATAATATAAAGAAATGCTGTTTACGCAACCTGGGGAAAGAGGATAAGCTGTCCTTACACAGAAGAAAGGTTTCATGTCCTCTGCTGTTTTTTTACCCCTTCCCTTGCTTTATTTTTACTCCCACTCAACCCTTGCATTTTATTCCATTGAGCACTATTTAATATGTATTACTTCTTTCACTTCAAGGTGGAGACGCAGATGCTAATGTTAGTCATATTTAGAGATGGGATTGTGTACTTGTGTCAGCATGCTTGCAGATGATGCCTAAAACCAAAGTTGCCTCTCAAAAAGGCTCTGACTCAGGCAGTGGGGAAGCAGGTTCACTCTTCCAAGGAGCACTCTGCATAATGAAATTCCTGGGCTGACTGCACAATAAGTGCCTTTGCTTCATCACAGTCATGCTTTCTTACATCATTACAGTTAAATTTCCAGGTACCAAAACCTACATTGACCCTGAAACCTACGAGGACCCAAATAGAGCTGTCCATCAATTCGCCAAGGAGCTAGATGCCTCTTGTATTAAAATTGAGCGTGTGATTGGTGCAGGTAAGGCTGCTGTGGCTTCCTGATTCAACTGTTCCATTTAGCCGGGATCGAAACTCATACATCATAATGACAGGCAAATAATTATGCCTCAAGTATAGAAGAATTTTTGCATTTGCCAGAGTGGTTAAGAGCAATGAAGCTGCACTGGCTTCTAAAATGTAAAAAAAAAAAAAAAAAAACAGGGGGAAAAAAAACAACAACCCCCCCCCAAATAAATAAGTAAATGAAGAATCTTGCTTGACGTCGAAAGCTTGTGGCTTTCTAATTCTGTATCTGCTGTGAAAATTGTAACTGGGGGGAGGGGGGCAGTTTTGCTGCCTATTATTTACTGTCACAGTAAAGGCGTTAGGCATGAGTGCAAATTCTGCTCGCTTTCCTTTTGCAAGAGGGCTTTTTGACCTCTGAATTTTTGTTCATGTGAGTAAGAAAAACTGGCTGCAGCACAAAATCTTAAATAGAGACTAGGAAGGTCTTGTTTCTGTATAGCAAAATCTTCCCTAAGGCTGTTTTTTGTTCTAGCATTTTTCTTTTTGATATTTTATGAATACAAAAAGTTATTGTTTAACTTCTCATGACTGATTGTAATTGCACCAGCATTACATTGCTTTTCTTCCTCTTGAACTGTCTACCACCTACTTAAGCCATGGTGTTCATGCTCTAAAAAGGCAGTTTCATTTGTTTGCATTAATAAGATATGTGACATTTTTATTGCACTACTCCATGTAGTGAAATTAAGTTTCCGTGGGTAAGAAAAATATCAAATACTTTGGATTCCTGGAGGAAATGTTCTTTTGCTTTCCTGTTGTTTTATAAAAGTATTAGTAGAATACTTTTAAGATCACCCTGTAGTTTGGCATGCGCTGTAAATTACATACTGTGGTATTATTTAAAAAGAGAAGAATAAGAAGTTTCTCTAAAATAAGCTGGTTTACCCATAAAAAAATCTTTACACTTAGAATTCACGATGCCTCCTTAAAGTAACATCACTCATGTTGAATCATGTCTTAATCAAGGAGTAACACCATTGAAATTAACAACACTGCTGAGCAAATTATTCCTTCACATGAGTAAGAGGGTAAGAATCCAGCCCTTGCTAACTAGTAATTTTTGTGATGCTAGAATGGCAGCATCGCTTCTAATAAATACACAATATACAAGATTCAAATTCAAGATTAGCACAGAAAAATTACTGAGCTTTATCTTTTGCTTTGAGTTAAAATACTATCAGCATAGGAACAGTTCAGAGCACAAAGATACATTCAGTTGGACCTTGCCAATGCCTTCTGAGCAAAATGCTGACAACGCTTCAGTTGCAGAGTATACAGTTTAAAAAATATTTTCACTGTTATGACAGACTAATTCCAGAATGTTAATTTTGTTGACTGCAGACAAATTTATGCTTGATTTTAATGAGTATAACTGATAACAAAAAACCTAACGTGTCTTAGTAGTCCTTCTGCAGAAAGTTAATTAGAAGTGCTACAGCGAAAGCATATTGTGTATGGGGTTTAGCTATGGCTTTAACCTGTTGATGTAGATAGCAAATAGGAGTGAAATGAAATGCAGTCCAGGAACAACAGAATGTTAAAGACCCAAAGAAGCAGCTGAAACTCATGCATCAAAGAAGAATATAGAATTTCTACTAGCGACAGCACCAGAAAAGCCACTTAGCAGTCTCAATATGCATCAGCGATGCTGGCCACGTCAACTATTGAGTAGTGCCATGTCTCTCAGACAAACAGGGTGCAAGTATGCTTGTGCTCAATTTACATGAGGGATATGTGCTTTCCTTGCCAAGATTTTCATTACCATCCCGCTGCGGCCACCTGCCAGATACAGAATATGGTGTCCACTATGTTGAGTCCTTGTTCATACCACACATCCTTTGTTTATGCCTCTTCCTTCTTGACATGCTGAGCTAGTGGCTGTGTGGCTGTGCAGTATTCCCACTATTGTTGTCATATTTTCCGGATCCTTTCTGGGCATCGTTTCAGCTGAATATACTATTTTCTTGGGAATAAAAGTGGTTCATTAGCTAGCATCCTGTCCTGAAATGCATAGCATACAAGTTCAAGTTTCTGGTTTGTCTGAGATGCAAGTGATCTGCTTTTGGAAATCAATCAAAATCAGATCACAGAGAGCTGGAAAGGAGTTAAGCCTTAGCGTCTCCCATGCCAAGTATCCTAATTACCTGGCTCTGAAGTATCACATACACACACACACATACTCACGTCTTGTTTTCAGCGTGGAACAAAAATAATTTTGTAAGGTGCTGCTAGAGAAAACTGTTATCCTTTAGTAAGTTCTTGTGGCTAGGAGCTGTGAGTGAGGTGAATTCATTAATCGTCATCCATTTTGCTAATGAAGTGCAGGAGGGAGGTTAAAGCACCGAACTAAGGGCATGTGCAACTAGTTGTATGTATGTCCCTGCCTCACGGTATTCATAGCTATGACATGGATATTCAGTCCACAACTCCGATGGTTGATGCTCATGCCTCCCCTATGCGGGCAGGAACATTTGTAGTCTGTCTGGCCAATTAGCTCAGGTTCAGCATGGTGTTAGCAGAGGTACATGGAACTGATTGGAGCTAACCTTAATTCAGCCAGCATAGACCAGGAGCAAGAGGAAACTGATTCCGTATGCAGTCATCTTCTATGAGACTAGTAAAACGAGATATGTTGAGTGGAGATTTGCCTAAACAAGTCGGTTGGAAATATTAAGGTCTGGTCAAAGTTCTATGCTTCTGGCTGGAGAATGTGAGAAGCTGAGGCCCAGGTACTGTTTTTTTCCTTCTCTAACCTCTGCTGTTGGGGTGACAGGGGAACAGTAGTGTTGGAAGCGTGATGGTGTCCTAAACAGGATTTCTCAGAACTCATCCATTAGGACACTTCAACATCTACCTCTTCAGGCATTCAGCCCCATTTCCAAGCCTACCTCTCTCCACTGCCAGCCAGATGCCTTGCCAGTGTGTATGTCTACTTAAGTCCTGATCCCACCAGGTTTCTCAGGACCTCAGTCTATGTCCCAAAGGGGTTCTCTAATCAAACTTTCTGTTAGTCTTTCCTAATTCAATCCTTTTTTTCAGCACTCACCCTAAAACATGTCTTGGATGTAGGTGTGTCTGCATACTTGTGTTTAGTGTTAAGGCACTCCACAGCTATGCAGGAGATAAATTTCAGACTTGATTTGATTTGAAGGAGGGATTTGGATCTATATCTCCCATACTCCAGATAAATCTGCAAAGTAGCAGATTATTAAATATTTTTGCAATGAATCTTTTTCTTTTTAAAGAGATGCTCCCCTTTATTCAGTATGAGACATGTTGCTACCCTTCTCTCCTGTATATCATGAGAGACTTTTCTTCCTGGCCACAGAATAGGAGGTCTCTCTCTCTCTGCTGACATGGCTGTGAGGCAAGGGACAATCTTTAAATCTTTTGAAATCTCAGTAATAGTGAGGGACATGTTTTGCCATTCAACTCCACATCTCACACGCTTCCGTCCTCTTTCCTGTCTAATGAAGTCCAATTACTTCTCTCCCAAATTATTGTTGTTGAGCCTTTTTTTATTTGGTATTCTTGCTGGCCGCTTGGCCATTTTTTTCACATGCTTCTTCCAGTTCCAATTGTCTGTTAGTTTAGAAGCCCTTTACAAACTTCCAGCATTTGCTTGTGTTTGTTTAATGTAACAAAATTATTATAAGTCACACCTTTCATTTCATAATCTGCAAAGTAAATTATCCTGCTTGAAGGTAATAATGTAGTGCTTCATTTAACACCATAACGATGTTAAATTAAAAGCAGGTCTCAAAGAACTGCCTTTGAAAGAAAAAAAAACATTGGATCTGAAGATAGCAAGGAAACCATGTAGAACAGAAGGACATTTTCACTTAGAAATAGTATTACTATTTCTGTGATAGGATTTTCTTATGAAAGCTACTTCATATTTATTTTCTATTTATGAAAAAATGTAACAAATTATTAACAAGTCTTTTAAAAGATTCAAATAACAGTCCTGTAGATTGGCTTAACGTGAAGTGTTTACTCCGTAAGATACTTAGTCAGCAATTCATTTAAAGCACATGCCTGTCTTTGGGTTCCTAAGTAATCCTTTTCAGATATGAACATTCACATGTAAAATTTAAACACACACTTAGGTGGCTAGTTGAATCAAGGCCTAAAAAGAATATTGATATAGTCGGAGTAATTCAGCGTTGATCTACCTAATTTTAGGAGAGTTTGGTGAAGTGTGCAGTGGGCGTCTAAAACTTCCTGGCAAGAGAGATGTTGCAGTGGCCATAAAAACTCTGAAAGTTGGCTACACTGAAAAGCAAAGGAGAGATTTCCTGTGTGAAGCAAGCATCATGGGACAGTTCGACCATCCCAATGTTGTTCACTTAGAAGGGGTCGTTACCAGAGGTAAGCAGTGGCTCGATCTGTCAGTCAAATAACAACATAATGGCAGAAATTACTTTAGCTTATTCATGGTCAAAGATTCAAATTATAAACAGGCTGCACACTCCTAATGGATTTTCTCCTGATGCGTAACTAACTGAAACAATACTTACTTTATGCTACAACCTGAGGAAAAAAATTAAGATGCATGCATGATTAAAAGATGAAGTACTTTACTTTGAAATATATTATTTTTCTAGTTTCATTTAGCCTCAAAGACCATGCAGAGAGATAAGGTTTTGTATGTCCTTTCATATTATCTGAAGTGTCATTATTCCAGAGTCCTGTTCGCACAGCAGGAGTTAGGAGAACACACTGACATTTTGATTTGTATGGTTTAATTTTGTGAATCATGACCATGTTCCATGCAGGCATTTAAGAACTTATTAGAGCTCAGTAAAAGTGCTGGAGGCCTCAGAAATGTTCGTTGTCTCAATGATTCAGTCCTTCAAAGGAATAACATGTGTTTTATCAAAAAAAGGCACTCCATTTGTGTTACAGTTTCTCAAACAAAATCTGTCTTTTCTTTCAGGGAAACCAGTCATGATTGTAATAGAATACATGGAAAATGGGGCCTTAGATGCATTTCTTAGAGTAAGTACCAAAGTGAAAACATATATAAACGTATTTTAAGTGACATATATATTATATTACATATTGTCACTTTTAAAAATATGGGTTTCTACATGTGCATATATATGTGTACATGCATGATATTCATATAATTAAAATGGTTTTCAGGCTGAAATGGATCTTGACAGATACTAGCAGTTCTCTACATTATTTCAGCAAAACCAGATCAGAAATGAGAACATTCTAGGAATTTAAGTGATTTAATGTGGTATAAACATGGTGGATTTTATTATTGCCACCAGCTGAAGTTAAAAACACTAATAGCTGAAGCCCAATCTTATGCCTTACGGGAGCAGAATTTTATTGTGTCAGCATGGTGGAAATCAGCATACAAGAATCCCTAAATGGACTATGGTTGTGTTTAAGAGGACAAATCATAGAACCATAGAGTCAAGAAATTATTTGGGTTGGAAGAGACCTTAAAGATCATCATCTTCCAACGCCCCTGCCATGGGCAAGGGCACCTACCACTAGACCAGGTTGCTCAAAGCCCCATCCAGCCTGGCCTTGAACACCTCCAGGAATGGGACATCCACAGCTTCTCTGGGCAACACGTTCCACTGTCTCACCACTCTCACAGTAAAGAATTTCTTCCTGATATCTAATCTAAATCTACCCTCTTTCAATTTAAAACCGTTACCCCTCGTCCTATCACTACACTCCCTGATAAAGAGTCCCTCCCCATCTTTCCTGTAGGCCCCCTTTGGTACTGGAAGGCTGCTATAAGGAAAAAGGAATGCAAATTCACGACAATTTAGCATTTTTTGAGTACGTGTTCTGAACTGGCCTGCTCTGACTCGTTACCAGGTGTTCAGGATAGAGTGAGGTGATTTATAAACACTCTATAGAGAACAGAAAGATTATATTTGTTTGATAAACTCCAAGCTATGAATAAAATTATCAGTAATTAGGGTTCCAAAAGGAGATGGTTCTTATTTTCTTGATACAAATAATTAGGCTGAAAGATAAAGAGCTGTGCATCAGGTAGTCTCTCTTAGAAGAGACTTGCCATGACTTAGCCAGAAATTTATAGTGATTAGTAAGTTTTGTTATTTCTAATACGTTAACTACTCACACATTTCTAAACTGGATGTACTGCTTTATCTCTGAAGAAAATAAAACTTTTGTTTGAAGTGAGTTTCTTTGCCCCAGGATGAATTGCCACAGAAGTAGTAAAAAAGTCGAAAGCTAAAGTTGTAAAACTAATTCTTATTTCTCTTCTCAGCTATACTAACAAGAATTGCTGCTCCTTTCTTCCCTCCAGAAACATGATGGGCAATTTACAGTCATTCAGCTAGTGGGAATGTTGAGAGGAATTGCTGCTGGAATGAGATATTTGGCCGATATGGGATATGTACACAGGGATCTTGCAGCACGCAATATTCTTGTCAACAGCAACCTTGTTTGTAAAGTGTCAGACTTTGGCCTTTCCAGAGTTATAGAAGATGATCCAGAGGCTGTCTACACTACTACCGTAAGAGAAATCAATGGATTTTAGTTTTGAGATGTGGCTATTAAGAAGAAGCATATCTTCTAGAGAGGATAGATCAGAGAAATACATTAATTGCTTGAGAAATGTTAAGCAGTCAAAAGGAAAACAATCTCTGCAGAAATCTGGCTCTAATTAGGGATTGATATTTTTGTAGGAACATACATTTTTATTTGGTAAAGTTCTAAAAGTTTTGTACAGTATTTTCATTATTCCCTTCCTCATGATTTTCTGTTTGAACAAATATGGGAGTTTTACCCATAAAAATTTTAATCATCTCATTTACTATGAGTCAATTAAAATATTTGTAGGCTATTACTATTTTTCAGACTAGATTTTATCTCATGATAAAGTTGACTAGCTTGAGGCTAGACTGTGACAAAGCTCAACTCCTGTATTTTCCCTTGCTTTTGGGTGGGACGCCTTTCTTAAACAGGCATTCATCGGGCACACTATGCTCTTTATTCTTTTGTTGAGCCAGCTCCCCTTTCCCACCCATGGGGCCTTGCTGTACCTATTTTCTCATGCTGAGGGAAGGAGGGGCCCCTGGAATCTGCTCCAACAGGCGCAGAGATCGGGGAAACCACACCGGCTTCACAGCTGTCACTCCTGCTGCTGGGCTCTAAGTGGGATCCTGGTTTAAAAATGTCAGTCCGAGATTTCAGAGGAGCCATATGATAATTCAGTGGGATTTATATGAACAGGATGAGATTCCCCTCATCTGGCTTCAGCCAGCCAGAAGTTATAACTAGTGTAAATAAGACATCTAAGCAGCCCCTTAAAATCAATGGAGAGATAAGCACTTCCAGAGAAATGCATCCAACTTAGCTTAGACAGGTGTCTAAGTTTCTATGGTTCAAGTGTTTTAAGAGCCTAAACTTCCTTAGACTCCTTTGAAAATTCTGCAATTGGTCAACTATAGTAGATGATATAAGTGCTGCTTTTGATGTTGATGGAAGTAATTACAAATGCACTCTATGGAAGATTATATGGAAATTTTGTGGAAAAAAAAAAAGAAAACATTCTTTTTTTCCTTTTTTTTTTCATAGGGTGGAAAAATTCCAGTGAGATGGACAGCTCCAGAGGCCATCCAGTACCGCAAATTTACATCAGCCAGTGATGTGTGGAGTTATGGAATAGTTATGTGGGAAGTAATGTCTTATGGAGAACGGCCTTACTGGGACATGTCAAATCAAGATGTAGGTTATACTTTGTCTGTTTGTGAGTGTGTGTGTGCGTCAGAAAAACAAAAATTACATATTGTAAACACATACATATATGTTTCACAATACATGCATAAAATGTTGGTTTAGAAATAATATTTATCAAAATAAGGTTCTCACAAAATGAAAAAGTTACAGAGCATTCACTTTTTACGTAAATGTCTAAATTGTTCTCCTGCCAGGTGGATGCGGTAGGTTTCTGTCCCGAGTATCAAGTAAAATTGGAACATCAAAAATAATAATATGTGCTATTCACTTTATGACACTTAAGCATAGAAGGAATTATTTTTTTCCAATAAAAAATAATTCTGAGGTTTCTGACCTCAGAGCAATGATTAATCAGTTGAAAAAAGTTGTTAAAAGTCTGAGTGGCAGTGAATGACCTACTTTGGCTTTTTCAAGTTAATTATGCTGATTTAACAATACCCTTGTTTGCATAAAATACGACCCAGAGCAACAGGTCAAGCAGTAATAGAACAGATGGGTGTTAATCTTGATTTCTGACAAGAGTATCTATTAGTATAGAAAGTACACAGGAAAAAGCCATGCAGGTAAGAAAGATGTCAGAGTCTCATTTAAAGTTCTTCAGGTCGGGGACTAGAGTGGGTTTTTTATTATTATTTTATTTTTTGATTGAATGATCGACATCAAAGTTGGAAAAAAAAGATAAAAGTGTAAATGATGAGTCAGTTTGGCACAGTGCAAAGTTGTTAATATTTGACAGGTCTCAGTGTCAAAGATTTCATGGACTGTCAAAATATGGGCAAACAAGTTCTTGGGGCAGAGAAAGAGAAATATTTACATTCCCTAGACACCCAGTAGAGTTTCATTTCTTTTGACACCTTCCTTCTGTACTAAATTCAAACATAAAAGTAGTCTGACAGGAATATAAGATGCCTCAAAGGCAAACCTTACCTATCTTTCAGGGAACAATAAGGAAAAAACTTTTAAATAGGGGAGAAATTGTGGTGTCTTCATGCTTCTTGTTGGATTTTGAAAAGTATTCCCTCTATCAAAAACTGCAAGCAAAGTACATGAATGAACCTTTTTCATAAAACAGCTAATTACCACTTCTTGCAGTTTCATCTCTTTTTAACATCTTACATAATAATCTTCAATAGCACATAGTTAAAAGATGCATCAATTGCTTGGTAAAATAATTTCAAATATTCTACTATGCTATGATCTTCAAGCGTGTCCTCAAACATACCTCGCAAAACGTATACACATCCTACCAATCCCATAGATAAAGCTATAAAGCAAAAATTTAGAATCATCTTAGGATTAGTTAGTTATTCACAGTTACCAATGGGAGTATTTAACTGGAATAAAAAAGACTAACTGTGTCTCTTCTAATTTTGCATTTACACTCAGGCAGTTTATATCTTAAGTGTATCATTATGCCTAGAAGTGGATGTGGGTGTAGTCATAGACTAGATCAGATCTCCTAAAAAATATGCCTCCCTGACTTTGGATCTTTAGATGGCATTTCTTTAATTCTGCCCCTCTTCCTTTAAGTCATTCTTTTAGATTGATGGAGGATACAAATTTGTGTTGCAGTCTCTTTTTAAGCAAACATCCTCCTTTTGGCAGAGACCTGGAGCTAGGGTGCACCAGAAGAACACTCGTCCTACAAGTTCACTGCAGAGGGCTCAGCACAGATGATACACAGAGTCCCCTCCACTTCTCTGAGCAGTAGACTCCCCTCAGCTTAATCCGTGCTGGTAACAGTAACCCTCAAACCACCGCACTTTACCCTGTTCACCTATTAGACTGCTGGTGTTTGCTAATTCCTGCTTTCATTCGGTTGCTGACCCTAGTGCAGATTAGTTCTTCAGAAAAGGGCAAAAGTTTAGGCTTACATATTTTTTCTTTGCTCTATTCCTGGATTTATTACCGTTAATGTGATTACTAATTTGTATTATTATTATTATTGTATACCCAGAAGCAGAATGATAACATTACATTGTCCAGTTACACGTATTTAATACTTTGTTGGCAACCAGCATATACAGTGAACAGACCTGGTCCTCTTCTAATCTACATCCTCAGATAGCCTGATTGTGATAAAAGCATACTTGACTCTTAACAGTATTCCCTTTTTCTTTTTTTGCAGCAAAAGCAGAAAAATTGTGGGAAGTGTAAATAATATAAATCAATTCTATTAGTAAGAACTCCAGCTGTGTTCTCTTTGTAGTTTTGCTTACTAAAAAAAAAAAAATAATAATTTCCTGCATCTATTTCGTTATCTTCGAGTACTAATTTTTGGAAGCCCACCCCCACCTTTCTTAGCAGAGTAGGCACTTGTAGTAGCCTTCAATCTGAATTCTGTATAAACTTAAAAAAAAAAAAAAAAAAAGAAAAGAAACTTTATTTATCAGTGTTTTCAAATGTTTTTTGCAATGTTTGGGAATTTACCAGCGATTTCATGCATCTCTAGCTAACTCATTATTTTATATTTCCCAGTTTCATCCTTCTTATTCAGAATACACAAGATGATTCTGCAGTATTCCCATAGCCTTTTAAAAACAGTATCATCATCTTGATTCCCTCCTCTTTTCCAGTTTCTCTGCAGATCGTAGTGAGTGTGGAAAAGTCCTGTTTATGATCCTTTTTCATTCATGTTTTCACTACCCCTTACACTCTTGGATATAGTCTTACCTAGATGGTTTGCCAGTTCTAAGGGTCTTCGATAGTTGGTGGGTGTGTTGCTGTTGATGTCATCTGCTTCTTCATTCTTCATTGGTTGTCTCTGCATTCTGACCTCTTAACCGATTGCTTCATGTGTAGTAAATCATACGTCGTATGCACAAAGGGTTTAATACCTTTTACCTTTTAGAAGGTCAGAAATTTCTGCATTACTTTTCATAGAACACCACTTGTCCTATACACACTGTAGCTTATTTTTCAGTTTTATTCCACTGCTACTTCTAAGCTTAAGGAGCTGTTCTTTTCTTTTTCCTCTTAATACTGCTCTAAAAGATCTTACATTTTACTTTCAATGTTTTCTTTCCTATACGGTACCGTTCTTCCAATTTCCCTGTTCTGCAGAAATCCTTTCTCCCCACCCTGTCTGACTGATAATTTCACTGTCTCTAAAAGGTCACTGCACTCATTCTTCAAGGTGTGGATGTTACTGCAGGACTTGAATATTTGTCAGTCATTTTTGAGTTGTAGGACAGTACTGTCACTCCAAATGTTCAGACAGAAAGCTGAGACCCGGGGAGACGAGGCAACTTCCCTGAGGTCGGAAGGACATTCTGTGACACAAACCTGCAGTGAGTGCCCTACGACTGGGCTATGCCACCTCTTTTCACAAAACTTCTTTTCTGCAAAAGGTTTTGATACAATCATGGATTTCAGCCAGCTTTTTGAAGGTCATTTTGTATTCTTTGCAGTTATGTCTACTTTACAATCCACTGCTTTTACATTTTCTCACACAACCTACGGAATATTTTTTATCCGAGGTTATTATTTTCACTAAACCCTGGATATTCACCAACTTTATTTATCATGGCAGATCTACTTCCTAGGGCTACATCCAGAACAGCTTCTGATCTTGCTTTCTGTACAAACAGAGGGAGAAGACAGTCCTATGCTCTACCCTTCAGGAACAAGCACCCTTCCTTAGCAATTCTAATACTGCTATGTCAGTCAATGTCAGTATACTTGAAATCCCCCATGAACGGTGTGTTAGCCCTTTTTCACAAGCCTTTCTTATCTGCCTTGCTTCCTGATGTGCTTTTTTATCCTGCCCTCAAGGTTTACAGCAGTTTCCTGTGATTTCACTTTACCTATTTTTATTTTTTACTTAAATCCAAATGGACTTAGCTAAGGAAGTCAACGGGTGGGTGTAATTCTTGGTTCAGACATTTATGCTCTCCTTTGATCATATCATCATCTAGCAGCATCTCTTATTAAATCTAAGTTTCTGTTTAGGTGATATATTAAAATACCATTCAGCCAGGTCTTCCTCTCTCATGTGGCACATTTCTGCTACTTTATCATTAATGTAACAGGGCTAGACATAGAATACAACTTTTTTCCTGAACATTTTCTCTCTGCTAAACATTTTTCTTGGATCTTTTTATAATCTCTTCAGGCTTTTTGTATTTTACATGGGCATGCACAGAT